GTGGGCCCCACCCTCGGGCTCCCTTCCGGTATAAATAGGAAGGAGGCTCGACAATCTGCTCCCACACAAAATAACTTTTCTTCAGCTATTCGTGGAGCCAGTGGGGCCCAGAACTTAGAGGGCTACGCCAATACTCATAGAAGCTGGAGTTACAGTAGGTAACTTCAGTTCTATTTCGTATATTGCTTCGCCCTCTAAGGCTATCGCTATTGGGTTAAGGGCGAAGCAAGATGTAATCTGCGCCCCACTGGGTCGCCCCGGTACAAGAAGCACAACCACACCTGCTCAGATAATAACCCATGCCTATTGCACCATGCGAATGGCGCATCACAGTCCCTGGAATATATCATAACATGAATATTTACCATGAGAGGACGAAGGCTGGGAATAATACATACCCGTCCGCTGTGAGAAAGTAGAGACGAAAAGTCACACTTTGCCCAGTGACAGAAGGAGGGGGAATAGCAGCTCTCTGTGTGCAGACAGGCAGAAGAGCGCACAGCTGGGTCCCCAACATCACACACTCTGACAAGACATTCCGTACGAAATGTGTCAGGGGAAAAAAGGGGGACGTCCCTCTCATAAAAGGGAAATACAGGCCACTCTCCGTGTGCCGAGGCAGGAGAGAGGCGCACAGCTGGATCCCTGACGTCACTCACTCTGACAGGACACTCAGTACAGGGTGTGTCAGAGAGGAATGGGAGACATCCCTCAAATAAAATTGAATAAATGAACAGGGAGAAGACCAAGAAGCAGCACTGCAAATGTCTTCCACTGACATTCCTCCGTGCAAAGCCGTGGAGGAGGAAACATTCCTCTGGCTTTGAGGAGGGGGAAAGAAGCCAGCCAGGGTGATCACTCTTGACCTAAAAAAGTTTGTGATGACCTTAGCCTTAGGCATGAAGCCGGGTTAGCATAAACGGCTGTCCTCCCTGGCGATTGAGGTAGGCTGCCGTGGCCTGTTGGCTGGGCGAATCAACACATGTTTGATTGTACAGCAACGGGGCGAAGTGCTGGAATACTTCCCAACCCGGAGAACAGCTCCAGCACATTTAACCCTGACGCACGGGGTCGGTGCGTGGGCGAATGAACCACCTCTGGAGACCCCTCCTGTGGGGGAGACCCCGGGGAATCCCCACGTGATCAGCTGACGTCATGCTGAGCAGCTGTATCACGGAGAGGGCTTTCACCACGCTGTGGGATGTGACACGCTGGATAGGGAGCTGTAAGTTCCTCCACTCGCTGCAGCGAGAGCCGCAGTCTGTTGCTGAGTTTTATTCCACTCGCAGATAAATGAATGTCTGGGGGGGAAGAGGACAACTCGAGCCAGCTATGCAGTTTATAAACCAATAGGTTAAAACAGCAGGCTCCTGCAGCGAATGACCCACCTCTGGAGTCTCCTCCTGTGGGGGAGACCCATGGGGATCTTTGAGCTTTGACAGATGCGATACAAGATGTAACGTCTGTAAAGCGACTTCCTCATGCTGGATCGAGCCTATAGCAAACAGCAGGTCGTCCAGAGAAAAAACCTCATTCTCATCCCTCCTCTCTGTGTAGTGGCTCCAGCCTTCTCTACACAAAATGCGAGGAGCCAGGGAACATCCAAACAGCAGACGATTGTCTGGTCTGATATTCCCTGAAAAGAGAAACGCAGGAATTCCCTGTGTTTCGGGATGGTGGGTATGGAAGTATATGCATCATCCTTCAGGTGGAAGTGAACCAGTCGTCCTGGTGAACACATTCCAGCACCTGTTTGATCGTCAGCATGGGAATACTGATAGATCAAGGATGGGTCTCACTCCCCCGTTGGAGAGGCTTCTCTGTGATATGCTGTAATGGTCGTCATGACCGTGCTCTGTAGGAGGCATATCTGGGACAGAGGAATGCCGCGAGCTATGCAGTTTATAACCCAATAGGTTAAAACAGCAGGCTTCTGCAGCGAATGACCCACCTCTGGATTCTCCTCCTGTGGGGGAGACCCATGGGGATCACCGCGTGACCAGCTGATGCGAATGCCAAGCAGCTGCGTCACGGAGAGGGCTGTGCGGGTTTTAGACACGCCGGAGGAGATCTCGCTGCAGTTCCTCCACTCGCTGCCGCAAGAGCCGCGCTCTGGTGGCTGAGTTTAAATCCACTCCCAGATAAATGAATGTCTGAGAGGGGAGAGGGCAGCTTTTCTCCAAATTCATTATGAAACCCAGGCTTTGACAGATGCGATACGAGATGTAACGTCTGTAAAGCGACTTCCTCATGCTGGATCGAGCCTATAGCAAATAGCAGGTCGTCCAGAGAAAAAACCTCATTCTCATCCCTCCTCTCTGTGTAGTGGCTCCAGCCTTCTCTACACAAAAATGCGAGGAGCCAGGGAACATCCAAACAGCAGACGATTGTCTGGTCTGATATTTCCTGAAAAGAGAAACGCAGGAATTCCCTGTGTTTCGGGATGGTGGGTATGGAAGTATATGCATCATCCTTCAGGTGGAAGTGAACCAGTCGTCCTGGTGAACACATTCCAGCACCTGTTTGATAGTCAGCATGGGAATACTGACAGATCAAGGATGGGTCTCACTCCCCCGTTGGAGAGGCTTCTCTGTGATATGCTGTAATGGTCGTCATGACCGTGCTCTGTAGGAGGCATATCTGGGACAGAGGAATGCCGCGAGCTATGCAGTTTATAACCCAATAGGTTAAAACAGCAGGCTTCTGCAGCGAATGACCCATCACCTCTGGAGTCTCCTCCTGTGGGGGAGACCCATGGTGATCAGACGCATGTGGTCGTCATGGCGACGTTCCACGTCAGAGCCCTCGCCGCCGCAGCCCGTGAGGCAACCCAAGGTGGGCCTGGCAAAAGGGCTGTGAGGGAGCCTCCACAGGCTGCGTTTCACTCCGGCTCTCATCATGAGGCGTGTACACGCTCAGGGGATGAGTGGAGGTGTGTGTCGTGACGTCCACATGAGGCGTCATAACTGCGCTCATGGGTTTATGTGTGGAGGAGACGTATCTCGGACAGAGGAATACCGCGAGCTCTGCGGTTCATTAACCGATAGGTTAAAACCGCAGGCTTCTGCAGCGAGCCCTGCTATCTACTAATCAACAGATTGGTGGCAGCTGGCTTAATTAGCGAACTCTGCAGTTTATTAACCGATAGATTAAAAACTGCAGGCTCTTACACAGAGTGGGGGGTGAGAAAACACTTGATACTGATGACTCAGACAAAAAGTTTGGAAAATGAACTCTCCTTTTATTTTCCACACAACCCCAACACGTCAAAAACGTCTCTGCTTCCTCGGAGGCTCTGGTGGAGCAGACCAAGAGCGGGAGTGCCTCACTCCCCGTTGACCCACTGCTGGAAGACCCCTCTGTCTCTGGGGTGGCGGGGGAGTGGAGACGTGGGACGGAGCCCCTGCAGCCGCTGAAGGACCCTGACGCCGCGGCTGTGGGCGTCTCTCCGCCTGCCGCTGTGGCCGGGTCGGACGCTGCGGCTGCTGCGGGCGTTGATGCCGCTGTGGCTGGAGCCAGCTGACGTGCTGGCGGATGTCGTCCGCCTGTTCTGCAGCAGACTTCATGGACTCCACCATGGCGTGGAACTGGGGTCCGAACAGCCCGTCCGGGCTGATTGGAGCGTCCAGAAGCACCTTCCTGGCCGTCTCTGTAAGTGACGCTTGCTGCAGCCAGAGGTGGCGCTGAATCTGCGTCACCCACGCGGCGATCCTCGCCTGGGAGACAGCGACGGACGCGCACAGTGTGAGCGCCGTGCTGGCCGCCTTGCTGATCTCCTCCGCTTCATCAGTGGCCAAGGTGGGTGGACCGCTCCACCAGCGTCACCACCGAGTTTGAGAGAAGCGCGATGTTGTTCGCCGCCGCCGACGCCTGAAAGGCACACTGGTGCACCCGGTCGGCCTGGCGGGCGACATACTGGTCCCTCGGGGAGGCCAACGTAGGGCGCCGTCCGGCGATCACGTTGGCCTGTCTCACCGCAAAAAACGCCGTCAGGCTCGGCTCCAAAGAAGGGGTGGCTGGGAACCCAGCATCTGTGAACCCCTCCACCTTGGTGAGGGGAACAAATGTGGCCACCGGAGCCTTCAGGGTCCTTGGGTTCGCCGCCGCCCCCTCCTGGTACCTCCTGATGGCGGGGAAGCGTGGCCAGACTGGGTCACTCCTGACCGTCTGCACCCGCGAAAAAACTCCGGTCATATCGTCCGGAGCACACCTCTCCTGAGCTGGGGGAACGGGGAGACCTCTGCAGGCGGCCGCCTTGCATATGATATCCGGTAGTTCCCCTAGGATGCCACCTATCACCGGCAGCGCCGTGGTGACGGAGAAGGGGACCGCGTGCTCGTCCGCCAAGCCGGCACCCTGCTCCGACTCTGTCTCCCCCGTCTGGGGGAGAGGAGGGAGGGGAGAACCGTACGGTGAACCGTGGAGGGAGGCGGGGTAGGAGTCGTCCGACACCTGAACGGCACTCGGCTCCAGGGACATGAGGCCGCCGTCCACGGGCTCGAAAGCCTGGACGGGCCAATCGTCCTCCTCGGCCGCAGCAGCGAGAGCGTCCGCTCTTCGCTTCCTGTCGTCCGCGGGGAGACGGGCACAGTGTGTGCATGCGACCTGCTGGCTGAGAGCCGCGTATGCGTGCTCTGGCCCCAGGCAGGATTCGCACATCGTGTGCTGGTCGTAACTCATAATGTATCCAGAGCCACATGAGAGACAATCTCTCACACAATTGCTGCTCATGATTGCTCTGTTAATGAAAGTGTCTCTTGTGCTTCAGTAACGGGGTGCTGAAGAAAAAGAGGGAGCAGATTGTCGGGCCTCCTTCCTATTTATACCGGAAGGGAGCCCGAGGGTGGGGCCCACCTTGCGGGCGGGCGTGGACTACAAGTGTTTCAGTGCTGCGCGGGTGCGCAGGGGGATTACCCAATAGCGATAGCCATAGAGGGCGAAGCCATATACGAAATAGAACGGTCCACACCACACTGGATTACACTCTGTTCAGATTCAGATCACTTCCTGGTTAGCATCAGCTGCTCTCATGGCTGCTCATTCACATGTGCGGCTGTTCATGTTTCTGTGGATCATTGGCTCTGTGGCTGCAGGAGGTGAGTAGGGTGACTGGCTGCACAGCATTTTTATCATTTGTCCCGCGTCCCACAAATTGAGACTATGCAGGTGTTGTGCCAAATGATGCACCCCCGGCGTGAAATGCACCCCTTGTCATGGGAACGCGCATTTGAAAATTAAACGTTTACACCTTAAAACGATGCTTAAAACGAAAAGTAAACGTTGAGGGTTTTTTTAATGGTAATTTTCAGACTATGAGTCGTTTAGTGGTAGCTCATATAGTCTTGATTCTTGTGGTTAAACTTTTCGCTTTGATGGTTGGGGTGTTGCAATATACGTTGGTCAGGGGGACATTATTTTTTGACGCACAGGTGGCCCGAGGCGACGACATGAGCCGAGGGACCAGGCTTCTGGGTTCTGACGTTAGCACGGCTAGGATGTTGCATTTTATCTTGTGGAACATTACAAGTGAAGTACGTGAGAGTAAGATAGTGTGTCGTTATCAGTATAGCACACAATACATATTGAAACATGGGGTGTCGAATCCTGGAATTTGTATTCGTCACTTCATTTACAGTTATTTTTGTATTTAATATATATGTTTTTATTTAATTGTGACGTCCTGTTTGTGTGTGTGTGTGTGTGTGTGTGTGTGTGTGTGTGTGTGTGTGTGTGTGTGTGTGTGTGTGTGTGTGTGTGTGTGTGTGTCCGCAATATGTGTCCCCGGTGTGTCAGGGAACTCACAAATGCCCCTTTCACACCAACGCAACTCCGGTTCAAGCTCCGTGCTAGAGCTTTTCTGGTTCAGAACCGGTTCTTCGGTTTAGCGCCGGCTCTTTTCACACCGCTCAGAGCCCGACTGGTGCTGCCGCTGCTGCGTCATGACGTCACAGTTTACGTCGCTGAGTTTCTCCCCAACGCCGGAGCTCACCTCACCTCACAATAACAACGGGCCGGGGACTGCGTTGCTTTTAATCATACGAAGCCAGATTAAATTAAATAACGACTTCTCCAACCTTATACTTTTCTCCAGAGTGCCGTGGTTCATTGTTTATTAATGTGTTTCAGCGGCATTTACCGACCGCTGCAGTGCTGGCCGGCTGCTCTTCCACGAGTGTATTCTCCCGTTAGCTCCGGGTTAGCTCACACGGCTCTAAAGTATTCACTGTCTGACTGTCACACAAGCAGCTGATACATATCCCCAGTTCCCCTTAAGTGAATGTGTGTCAGTCTGAATTGACGCTGTTTGGTGTCAGTCTGAATTGACGCTGTTTGGCATCACAACGCTGTTATGAAAGTTTCTCTGGTATAACATGGGTGATGTTAGCATAGCAACCGAAGCTAAACTGACTACTTGCTAAGCAGTTTTCTACAGGCACTTTTTACCGACGTATTTTTCATTATGATTCTACTTGTGATAGTCGGACATGACAACCTGTGCAGCCCATGTATTGATTCCATCCGATAGCTGCTATAATAACAAACAAAACGTCTGCCTGCTCTCCACAATGATCAATAACAGCGAACGGATGGTCAAAGTAAGGTACAAATAAACAGAATCACACGAAGCCTGGTTAGTGTTGCCTGACTTTATAAAGTGTGTTTTTTTTAACAAGTGTGTGGTTGCGTTCTAGTCACTTTGCTCAGCACTACTGCTTGTTACAACTTTTATTTGCCGTACTCGCCTTAACTGTTAGCTCAGGTTAATCTCGCCCCCCTCCGACGTAAGCGTGACGTATGCGGTTCTTGCTTCTAGACGGACAACTTTTTGGTGCTCGAAACGAACCGGATTCCGGAGCTATGACGCTGCTCCGCTGCGGTGTGAACAGGAAAACCCGGTGCTTTTCAAGCACCAGCACCGAACCGGCCCTGAAACACCGTTGGTGTGAAAGGGGTAAAAGTGTCAGTAAACAAAACCCTCTCTCTTTTCCTCCATACCCACACCTCTCTCTAAAAAAGGAGGGTGCTAACAAGCAGATCCAGAATTTTCGCTCCTATAACGTCATTGGCGACATCCGGCCGACGTGACACGTCCCAACCTATCATCTCCGGCACACGTGACACGTCCCAACCTATATTCTCCGGCACACGTGACACGACCCAACCTATCGTCTCTGTATACAGTCACAGCGCTGTGTGTCTGTGTATTCAGCAGGATGTCTGCTGGGGGCTTAGAGTAAAGTTGTTATATATAATACATATAATGGCACCGTTCTAGCGGTAAACACTTAAGAAAGAACATGTCAAGCTATGTGCTGTATCAGAAACAATGCGCAGCGTGTTTTGGGAGTAATATGCTGTGTGTTTACATTAGCAAGCATGCTAACACTCAGAGCTAACCATGGAGCTAACGCTGTAGGCTACTGGGGAGAATGTGTAACGTAATGTCATTGTGGTAAAGAGAAAGGCTTGAGCTCCATACTGTTTCAGAAATAAAGCTTGAAGTGGTTAGGAGCATAACATTGCATTTAATCACCGCAGCGTTTAGCTGAGCTTCTCCCCGTAGAAATCTCTCAGGGGAAAGCTGCGTGACGCTACATATCTATATATATATATATATATATATATATATATATATATATATATATAGTCATGTGCACATTAACTACTGACTACAATGTAGAAATGGCAATTACATTTTTATGTCCCCGACTCCTCCAACAATGCAACATACATATATATATATATATATATATATGATTTTAAAAAGAAAGAAAATAGAAGTAATTATAAAATAAAGTGATGCAGTAAGTAAGTCCAATGTATTATAACCAAACATATATACAGAGTGTGTATATATTCAGGGTTGGGTTGTAACGGAATACATGTAACGGCGTTACGTAATCAGAATACAAAAATCAAGTAACTGTATTCAGCTCGCGTTATATTTGAAAAACGAGTAATCTGATTACAGTTACTTTCGTAAACCTGAAGTGAATACATTTTGGAATACTTATTGGAATTATTGGTGGAAAGGTTTCCTCACAAAATGTAATATTCATTACCGGCAGATCTGTGTGCACGGCGCAGCAGCGTGTCTGTGTCAGCACGAGAGAGAGAGAGATATGGCGCATTTCCACCGCAGGCCTCGCTCGACTTAGTACGGTTTTGTTAGGCCTTGTTAGGCCCGGCTCACTTTAATGCTGCGCTTCCATTACAGTTTAGGAACTGGGGTAGTATCTATAGTAACACAGTGTAGGCGGAGCCGTGACGTCATCTTCAATGAGCACCCCAGAAAAACAACATCAGCCGTTAGCTGTTAGCACTCAAGCTCACAGCTCCTCATATCTGTTCAGAAACTAGACAAAAGTTAAACAAGTACAAACCACAGACTGTCTGTGTCATGGCGAGTACAGTCGCTGCTTTATTTATGTCTGTATAGGCCGTTGTTGTGAGTGTGGACGGTCGGAGCATATATTGTGTTAGCTTAGCCGATCTCCATTTAGACAACACCCATTTTAAAAGGTGTTTCGCCTGCCGTCTGTCTGCAGACTTGTCACAGCATTAATTCATGGTTTTTACTAACCGGTGTCAGTATGTTGTTACTTCGGCATCATTTTGAAACGTGTATTACAATTAAATCACGATTAGAGCGATGCAAATATTCGGGGCTTATCTCCCTGTAAATACTATGGTAGACTACAACAAAATGAACATATTTTACCTTAATTTAATTGTAATACACGTTTCTAAATGATGCCGAAGTAACAACATACTGATACCGGTTAGTAAAAACCATGAATTAATGCTGTGACAAGTCTGCAGACAGACGGCAGGCGAAAAACCTTTTAAAATGCGTATTTTCTGAATGGAGATCGGATTGATCAGGATAAACTAACCTGTAGCTGCTCCGTCCAAACTCACAATGGCATACAGACATAAATAAAGCAGCGACTGTATTCACCATGACACAGGCAGTCTGTGGTTTGTACTTGTTTAACTTTTGTCTAGTTTCTGAACAGATATGAGGAGCTGTGAGCTCTGTGTGCTAACAGCTAACGGCTGATGTTTTGGGGCATGTTGCGCTGTTGGGTGCTGACCAATCACGAAGCGTCATTTCTTGACTGGCAGTAAAAACAACCAATCATAGCAGTGCTTCTCTGGCTGGCTCTGTCCAATCACAAACAAGAAGTGTTCTCCCTAAAGGAATACCCTTTCCGTATAAGTTTAAATGCTGTGGTGTTTCCTGAAATGCTGTAGCGTTTTGTGAAATGTTGTTTTGACTTGCACTTCAGGGCCACCGTAGATGTCAGTGTTGTGTCACATCTTGTTCTCACTGCCCCAAAGAGGACAAAAATCTTCAGGGTCAAATACGAGTTGCCCAACCTTTACCAGTGGCCAATCAGAAAACGTTCATAAGTTGAATTCTTAAGTTACTAGTATTGCGTGGAGGCCTCTAGTTATTTGTTATTACAGTTATTGACTGTGATCTTAAATCCAATATGAGTCTGCCATGACTGTTCTTTCTAAATGACATAAGGTCCCGTAATGATAATCCTGTGTGAATATGGCTTTACAAATCATTTGTGAAAGTTTTGGAGAGCACTGTCAAATGATGCCATCCTGAAGATTGGTTTGCCAGATTGTAGAATTCTCATTTAACAAATCTGTTATTTGGGCGGAAGGACTAGTTGAACAGATTGTGTAAGATTTCTTGAATTTGCCTTAGTTTTCTCTCCCAAGTAAAACAGATGGTTTGTTTATCATTCACTATTGTTCCTCTGCCTGTTGTGACAGTGTTGCCTTGTCCCTTGATCTCAGCAGTGAAGTTATTTTGTAAAATCGTAATCAGTAGCAAATTTTACAAAACTACTATACGTTTCAGATTTAAAGGAAAATGTGTTCAAATGTCTGACACTGGCAACCCAGGACAATGGACAATTTGGCTCAATAATGCACGCTGGCACTCAATCATACCTTTGGGATTGTTACACAGACAGAAAACGTATTTGAAAGATGCAGTTATCACATGGAATTTCCACACATAATGACTTAATTAAGCAAACGTGACATTTTTACAATCGTGTGTTGTTTCCACGAAATCTCACCAAAACACAAGTAGTTAGTAGAGTCAATGTAGAGTTAGAAGAGAGAAATGTTAATGTAGAGTTAGAGTGAATGGACAGTAGGTGAGTGTTTTTATAACTGTAGTTCCACACACCTGTCAAATAAATCAATCTGTGATTATAGTTCTTGCATTGTTTGTTTTGTGAAGGAAGTAATACCTTGTCTTAGGTCATGTTCACACCAGCCTTGTTTAGTCTGGTTGAATCGAACCCTGGTGCGTTCAACCGCTTGGTGCGGTTCGGCCTATAAGCTAGGCTATATTTGCTTGTGACTGCTCACCTCACTGGTCCCCTGTGTACAACAAAAGGCTGTGGTACAATCTGATCAGAGCCCTCCTTACTGCAGTCTGTCATTATATGTGTTTATAATGTTTTAACACACCAAAGAAGACGACTATTAGGTGTGAATGCAACCTTAGTTTCCTGAAAGACCTGAGTGAATACTTAGGACATAACACAGTATGGCTTATAATACTGTTTTATACACAAGGGAGGTATCAAGACTAGAAAGCAAAGACAGAATATGGTATGTAAATGCATGAAACAATGGGAATGGCTGTGGGGGATGCAGGAGGAACAGGGCCATGCAGGGACAGCAGGACCAGGGACAGCATTGGGAGGCCTAAAGATGGGAGCCACATCCATACAGCAAGAAAGAAACACCAACCACTCACACAGACAGAGGAGAAAGGGTGAGTAACAAAACATGGGAGAAGAGAAGAAGGTGAGGATTTAAGAAACTGAGAGAGACATATACACCGGCATAGACTTTAAATTAAATAATACAGGGGCCTGCAGGCAGGGACTGAAACATATCATTATAGAATATTACATAAATAAGGTTTTAGGATTCAACAATCTCTTATCTCTTAGGATAACTGGACTTAAACTCACACTGTACATTTTACATGTATACTTAATTTAATATTCCATTCCTACACACTTAATGTATATAATATCCTGCTTTATATTTATTTTGTTTACTGTAAATTGGTATTTCAACATGTATATTTTCTACTTTTTGAATGCTGTTTTATTTCTATTTGTGATGTTTACATTGTTTATTTCTAGTCTTTTCATTTCTCTTATGTGCAATGCCAATCTTTAATGCTGTGGGCCATAGGGCTCATAAAAGGTTTTTGAGAAGAAAACTTGTCAAAACTGCTGGGAAAAACACACACTTAAATCTGCCTAGCAACTGGCCGGTCCTCACAACACCGACCAAATTCACCACTTGTGTGAAAATTTGGGTTTTAACATTTTAAGTGACTTTCTGTCTCACTACCCCCATCTTGTGTTAGAGATATTTTTTTCATCTTTGTGGCTATAGCAGAAAGGGGGGTCCTCACACCCTGCCCTTGGGTCATGGCCCTCACAATAATTGCAAAACCTGTATGTGTGTGTGTGTGTGTGTGTCCTGGTCACCCTAGAAGTGAGGGGTCTGTGTCATTTTTAATGTTGCATATGATGAAGATGTTTTTTTAACTATATACTATTGGGTGATTTTCTTAATTATATTTTATATTATTAATGTGAATCTTCAAAGTCACTTAATCTGTCAGATGGATATAACCACAGAACAACGTTAAAGGGAACACCATATATATATATATATATACATTTTATAGGTTAGCATGGTTTTATCTCATTTGACTTTACATGTTTTAGTTTCCTTATTCCTGCATTTTAATTATTTGTATGAGTTACTTCACGTTGTTGGAGGAGCCTCAGGCTTTACATTTTCATTGTACATACAAAAATAAAGCCTTTAGTATTTCTAATATGAACTAATATCAAAAACAAAAAAGAGTTGTGTTGCCTCCCAGTACAATCTAACGCACTACTTTTCTTGGTGGATGCAATATCCCTCTGCCTTAACTTTTGACCTAACTTTATATCTTTATAATATGAATAGATAGTAAACACTTTTTGGTACAGAGGGTCTCGGTACAAACTGTTCTTACTTCCTGTTAGAGCTCACTCCGTGTGCCCCTCCTAAACAATGCTTATGTAAGTTGAGACGAAGCGTTGTGACAAAATATGTTTAATATCAAAAGTAAGAGCAAATATGGAAGTATTTTCGAAACTATTGCGTGAGGTATGTCAGAACTTAAAGAAATGCACTGCTGACTTTTGCCTTTCTGTTATTCTGTAGATTTAGAAGAAGTGAAGGCAAATCCTGGAGAGGACGTCACTCTTCAGTGCAACAGCTCAACAGACGCTGCCCTCACACTGTTAGAGTGGAGCAGACCTGAGCTGGAGGATTCAGTCTTCTACTTCACAGATAACAAGTCGATGGAAAGTGTCCAGGATCCACGTTATCACGGTCGTGTTGAGCTGAAAGATCCAGAGATGAAGAACGGAGACGCTTCTGTTCTCCTGAAGAACGTCAATGTCAACGACACGGGAACGTACCATTGTCAGGTTAGAACCTCCTCCCATAGCCGAAGGAAGAGAGAACTGGGGGGTCAGATGGATGGACTGTCGATGCAGTCCATCAATCTGACCAATCAGTCCATCCATCTGAACATCAGTAAAGGTGAATAATGACTAATGTTCTGCTCTCGTTCTTTAGCTGTGGTGAAAACAGAGGAAAGGCATTTTGAAGAACCAGACTCCAGTTCCCTGAAGTCACCCAGGAGTGGGAGATAGTGGACAGAGTTACTGTGTAGCACACATTATACAGAGGGTGATCACAGTATGAGTACTACCATACAAGTATATGTGTAGCACACATTATACAGAGGGTGATCACAGTATGAATACTACCATACGAGTGTATGTGTAGCACACATTATACAGAGGGTGATCACAGTATGAGTACTACCATACGAGTATATGTGTAGCACACATTATACAGAGGGCGATCACAGTATGAATACTACCATACGAGTGTATGTGTAGCACACATTATACAGAGGGTGATCACAGTATGAGTACTACCATACGAGTGTATGTGTAGCACACATTATACAGAGGGTGATCACAGTATGAATACTACCATACGAGTATATGTGTAGCACACATTATACAGAGGGTGATCACAGTATGAGTACTACCATACGAGTATATGTGTAGCACACATTATACAGAGGGCGATCACAGTATGAATACTACCATACGAGTGTATGTGTAGCACACATTATACAGAGGGTGATCACAGTATGAGTACTACCATACGAGTATATGTGTAGTACACATTATACAGAGGGTGATCACAGTATGAGTACTACCATACGAGTATATGTGTAGCACACATTATACAGAGGGTGATCACAGTATGAGTACTACCATACGAGTATATGTGTAGCACACATTATACAGAGGGTGATCACAGTATGAGTACTACCATACGAGTATATGTGTAGCACACATTATACAGAGGGTGATCACAGTATGGATACTACCATACGAGTATATGTGTAGTAGCACACATTATACAGAGGGTGATCACAGTATGAGTACTACCATACGAGTATATGTGTAGCACACATTATACAGAGGGTGATCACAGTATGAATACTACCATACGAGTATATGTATCACACATTATACAGAGGGTGATCACAGTATGAATACTACCATACGAGTATATGTGTAGCACACATTATACAGAGGGTGATCACAGTATGAGTACTACCATACGAGTATATGTGTAGCACACATTATACAGAGGGTGATCACAGTATGAATACTACCATACGAGTATATGTAGCACACATTATACAGAGGGCGATCACAGTATGAGTACTACCATACGAGTATATGTGTTGTACACATTATACAGAGGGTGATCACAGTATGAGTACTACCATACGAGTGTATGTGTAGCACATAAAATTAGGGCTGTCAAGTTAACGCGTTAATAACGCGTTAACGCAAAAAAAAATTAACGCCACTAATTATTTTAACGCGATTAAGGCATGTGTATTTTTAGTCCTCGGCCGCCCCGTAGTTTCAGAGCGCATCGAGTTTAAAAAACCATCTACAAGCTGATGCTGACAGCCCCACTCCTGCCGCCCGCTTGTGGCAGAACACACTTCCATGCTCACCGGCAGGCCCGGACTGGCCATCGGGAGGACCGGGAGGGTGTGTGCATGTGTGTATGTGTGCATGTGTGTATGTGTGTATGTATGTGTGTATGTGTATGTGTGTATGTGTGGCGCGACTCGCGCGAGCGAGGCACACCTTACGTGTTGTTGTTAGCATCTGGTGCTAGCTAGCTGCGCTAACGGATATAAGGAGCTGTTTCAATGACATTTCGCCGACAACTGCGCCGAGCACTTGACTTTATGCAGGTAGCCAGACAGTGGGACATTGTACGAAAAGTCAGCACACTCAGCACGGATAGTGCGCGCAACATGATTGCAGCGTCCAGGCAGCTCCCATTGGAGCATATATGCCTTGAGCTGCACATAGCTCCAACGATCCATCACAGTGTCTCCACACACACACACACACACACACACACACACACACACACACACACACACACACACACACACACACACACACACACACACACACACACACACACACACACACACACACACACACACACACACACACACACACACAGTATTATTGTATGAGAGAGGTTCCAGGGTTCCAGGTTGAATTGAAGCGAATATTTGTAATGTTCAGAGGTTGTTGTGTTTAATATTCATGAGAATATTTGTCATTGTTCAAATGATAATAAACAAACATATAGAGCATAGTTGTCCACTCATATGTTGATAAGAGTATTAAAAACTTGAAAAATATCCCTCTAAGGTACATTTAGAACAGATAAAAAATGTGCGATTAATTTGCGATTAATCACGATTAACTCTGGACAATCATGCGATTAATCGCGATTAAATATTTTAATCGACTGACAGCCCTACATAAAATACATACTATATATCTGAATTTATAGTGGAAGAGATGTGACCTGTAAAAAAAATAGCTTCGTGCACAAATGTATCTATAATATAAAGGTATTCTGAAACTAGCAGAATATTCCATGGACCGTTCGAGGTGAGCTGATCACTGTTAAAGAAATGTTGGTGACTTTTTCCTTTCTGCTTTTTTCGATGTTTAGAAGAGGTGAGGGCAAAGCCTGGAGAAGACGTCACTCTTCAGTGCAACAGCTCCACAGATGCTGCTGTCACACTGTTACAGTGGAGCAGACCTGAGCTGGAGGGTGACTACGTCTTCTACTCCAGAGATAACATGTCGAGGGAAATCTTCCAGAATCCACGTTATCGAGGTCGTGTTGAGCTGAAAGATCCACAGATGAAGAACGGAGACGCTTCTGTTCTCCTGAAGAACGTCAACACCAACGACACGGGAACCTACGAGTGTCGGGTTATAACGCCCTCCAATAATCGCAGGAGGAGAGACGTGGGAAACAGAGTGTTGGTGAGCTCCGTCCATCTGATCGTCTCTGAAGGTGAGTTTGTGTTTCTCCTGAAGAGTTCCTCCATTGGCATGTTTAAAGATGATGTTGATGCTCTGTGATCGGTAGATAATGTCTGACATGAGACTGGAGAGGAAACAGATTCTGTTCTTCATCACCTTCATGATCAGCTGTTCTCCAACATGAGGTCCAGTTGTTTCCTCACTGCTCTCTGTTTCTGTCCTCAGGTCCTGAGAAGGAAATCAAGAATGAACACCATCAGTATGGAGACGCCAACGATGAACCACCAGGGGGTGCCAGAGGACGCGTTGGGTTGGGAGTTAGTGTGGGACTGGTTTGTCTCGTTGTTGTTGTTGTTGTGCTTGTTGTAAAATGTCAAAGAGCAAGGTGAAGAGATCAGAAGAGTGTTTCGATGAAGAGGAAATGTCCGAACTGAACCCCTGACTCTCCTCTCCTGAATGTCGACCCTGTCGTGGTGGAGGGTCTTGATGAATAACCCAACCACCTGCACTACCTGAGGGGTTCACTACTATCTAAGTCAGATTACAGGACTATCAGGTACTCACGCTGCAGACACACGCTGCTCCAGACCACGTTGTGTTCAGGGTTTAAGCTTAAGATCAGCAAATACCGCTGTTCTGTTACTACTTCCTTTGAAATATTAAATCAGATAATGAATGTATATTCAGTCTATGAGAGGTAATATTATCAGCTGTTATTCATCAGTATGAAATCCAGCACCAGATACTTTTTACGCTGCTATGGACAATCTTGCAATAATATTTTTTTTGCACATTCTGTGGAAAATCTTGCACGAATGTAAATTCTCAAAATATTGAAGTGACTGTTATTTTGTATATATTGATTGTTGTGTTTTTATTTAGGTCTTAATGTGTGCACATGTAAAAATGTGTCTTTGACTGTGTATATATAGGTACATACATATTTGCACACACATATTTTATATATATTTATTTTCGTATTCGGGATTGTGGGAAGCGGTATTTCGATCTCTCTGTCTGTACACACAAACTGGAAGATTGACAATAAAGTTGACTTTGACTACTTGCAGATTGAATGCAGTATAATTGTAATTACGCTGCTGGTTTATTGCAGCTCATACAAAGCCTATTAGAAAATCCATAGTTCTGTTGGTCTGTAAATAACTGTGCAATTTATTCTACCTCCTTTAAAGCTGTGGAGCAGTGAGTTCTCTGCAGCCAGAGGTGAGCTGTTGTACAGTTTGATGGCAGAAGGCAGGAATGACTTCCAGTCTGTAGAGAAGGAGCTCCGCTGTCTGTCCAGCTGCTCCTCACGGTCTGAACCTGAGTGTACTCTAATTCTTTGAGTTTTAGGACCAAGACACTTCAGCCAAAGTGCTCCAGTGGGGAGTGCCCTCAGTATTTTGAGTTTATACAAGTCGCTTTGGGTGAAAGTGACAAGTCATGTAAATATTTGACTGGTTATACATGCAAACTTTGAATCAAGTAAGATTATAGTGGAGGACCTCTACTCCCAGCGGAGGAAGAAAGCCCTCGGGAGTATCAAAGACCCCCATCAGGATTATAAAGACCCCCATCAGGATTAGAAAGACCCCCATCATGCTCCCAGTACTCCTGCTCCGGCGATCCAGCTGACTCCGGAGCTGTCCTGTCGGTGCTGGTGGAGCTCGTGAGCCTTCAGCCTCGCAGCGGGGAAACTGGAGCGCAGTTTGATTTGTGTTGGTTTAGTTAGGGGTCGGTTTGGAACTGGGCCCTGGTCTTGGTGTGTCAGGGCCTTCATGAATTGATGGTAAATTCCCTAAATAACCAAAAGTGATTCATGAAGAGAGGTTACTTTAAATATCAGCAGACTAAAGCTCCATTCAAATCTTAAAGTCGGTGTAAAGAGGTTTTAAACTGTGTATCTATCGTGTCGGTGATACTTTTCACGTGTGCTTTGTTTTTACTTATTGCTGCAGAAATGTAGTCTGCTTCACGTCTATGTATTTAAAGTCAATAATATTTCCAGTCTCTACTTAATACTTAAAAAGATGCTTCAGGGACGTTTCTGGGTAAATCTGTGGATTATTGTCCTGAATAAGACTTTAAGATTTGTATTCATTTCCTACTAAGTAGATTTACCTGAATGTGAAGTTGCAGGTATTAAAACACCAGAAGTTCAGTGCAGATTAAGTAGAAATTGTAGATTAACCTGTTATATAAAAATAAATGAGGCACAATTAGTAAAAACAAATAACATTGTTTTATAGCTTAGCATTAGCTGCTTATGCTAACAGACTAAAGGTTTAGATATTGAACGTTTTATTTTCATCAGAAATAATGAGTGTGGAATATTCTGTATGTAATAATCTGTTTCCTTATTCAAAATGATTAACCCTTAAGAGGCCCTGACAAAAAAAAACTTTTTGTTCCTAAGGCCAAAAAATGCCACCTTCACAAAACTGCTATATTCATATTTCTTCCCACTTTAAAAGAGTCAATCTTTTAAAACTACTCCAGCCTGACATACACATATGAAATATGAATTATATTTTGGGGATTTTAACCCTTTAAATGCCAGTTTGTTGAAAAAACTCCACAGTTCTTTTATTGAAAAAAACAAAAACTAGATTAATTTTCAAAAAATACATTTCAAGGAATATTTGATTATTGTTATTAGGTCCCTAGATTGGTCAATGATTGGCAGCAACATTGATTGATTGATTGAAAAGTTTATTAACAGCTTGTATATTGGGTACAGTACAGTACAGCTCAAAACATACAATTGTTAAGGGGATGCAGACCAGAGAAAGACTTTCGTCTTGTTTACATCAGGGTCCCCCATTTCCAATTCATCATATCATTTAAGACATATAAGATTTGAATGCATTGTTCAGCAAAGGCATGTACTGCTTGAAGCTGCACCTGCCTCTGAATGGGACGAGCTGTTCATCCACGCAGACGTCGCTGAATGGGCTGAACAGCATCGGCAGGCGGTGCGTCCACATATCCCAGACTTTGCGGAAGGCAGCCAGCTTGTCATCACGGCGCCGCGGTCGGGATAGCTTGTCGTCGAACCGCAGTGTTCGGCTGATTTGGTGAAACCTCTTGTGGGACATCGTGGCTCGGAAAATGCTTCGTCCCGATTTCTCACTCCAGAGGCTGAGGGTCGATTCATTTTTTGACCTGTAAACACCGGCCAAAATGAGCAGCCCCACGTAAACCTGCAGTTCCTCTGTGTCCATATCTCGCCACTCTGCAATTGACCGTCTCCCATGCAGGTTTGTCATGGACACAATATGCTGCAGGATGTCATCCGTCAGCAGCAGTGCAAAGCTGGATGCCGGGTCACTGATTCGGGCGACAGCATAGTGTGTTGGTCGTACATATAGTAATTGGTTTGAGGGAAAGTTTAGTTTTTCATCCAGCAGAGGGCGGTAATGCAGCTCTTTGGATTCATCTGTACTTGCCTCTGTACTTGTGTACCTTGTACTTTTACATCAGTAAAGTATCTGAGTACTTCTTCCACCATGATTTGATATACACAATATAAACTGCACACAGTGTGTGTGTCTGCCGTGTGTGTCCTCTGTTATCAGGTGTGTTTCTGTTCTCGGTTAGCCGCGACCAAACCAGAACAAATGGAGCTGTTTGTCAGCGAAGTGAAACCCACAGAACCACAGCAGCAGAACAGCCTTTACTCCTCTGCTCAAGAGTCACTGTAGAGTCACTAGTAACACAGAGAATAAAAAGATGTCCAGGAGTCCTTCTTCAGGTTTACTTCAGAGACGAGTACAGGACGTCCGGCTCGGGGACGATCTCTGCTAAAAACAGGAGAAACTTTATTAAATATACATGCAAACAGGAAGTCACTGCTTTAATAACATAATTGTTAAGGAATAATTCTTCTAGATATCTAACCTTTTACTCTGACATGTGTTATTTCCTTTAAGGAAAGGCCTTGGTGCCATATGTGTTGTTGTCCCCAGTGTGAGACCGGTCAACTTGACTGGCACGTAGGGTAATTGTTGTGAGAACACTGAAGCATTTCTTTATCGGTGTTTGTGGGCTCTCGGATGTGAAATCCTTGAGGCCATGAGCGTTGGACGCAGATGATTCAGTGTTTAGTCTACTCCTTCAGAGATGTTGATTTCTCTCTGTGAACCTGTTAAAAGGGCTAGCATAGAGAGAGGTTCTTCAGAATTGACGTGGCAACTCTACCGTGTGGTCAGAACCTCTGACTCTTTGATTTGTGATGTGAATCCTCCGGCCGAATACTCTGAATAAACCCATCAGTGTTTGACATCAAAGCTCCAACTCTCACCGTGTCTCCTTCCTGAGTCGGTGACTCCATGCATTACTACACAGAAGTTTCCTCCACAAATTGGCGTTGTCGGCAGGATACCAACAGATCTTCAGAGACTGGTAAGTGTGATTTCAAATCTACATTTGGACATTGCCTTACCAGAATCTGTGATTGACGGTATCCTAAAATTATCTGTGAAGCTAAGCGGCTGCGTTTCGTTTTGGTTAATGAACATTTGGGGCTAGTAACCCCAGGGGATCATCCAGGGACTCTGTCCTGGCTGGTTCCCTCTGTGTGTGATGCTTGGACGTATGTGCCGTGCAGGCATACACGGAGATGTTTAAAAAAAACCTTAATGAGGGCAGCAGTAAAGTGGAACTTCTGTGTGAAATCAAAATAGAGATTTGTAATGAACAAATCGCCGAGATTCCGGGGGTTTCAGCGGCCAACACTAGCAGTTAACTAAAGCAGCCATAGATATTACCCCCAGCGCCTCTAAAAAAAAAACACGGCTCCAGCTGCTGCGGCTCCGGGGAATGTGTGTCAAATACCTCCCCGTATCTGCATGAGCTGGTGAAGTGAACTCAGAGGGAGAAAATCACAGCTTTTGTCTATAGCTTTAACTCACACCACCGCCGTCTCTATTAAAAAAGAGACGGTTTAAAAGCACTCTCGTGGCTTGTGGCCATTTACGATGTGCTGGCAAGTGCGAGGTGCGTGCATTACCTGATGCGACAGGCACCCTACATTGCTGAGGAGCTGATGTCGGTCCGGGGTGCATACATAAAATGATAGGCTAATTGATCATGGGTGGGCAGTGGTATGCAAGTGTAGAGCAAAACTGTGTTTCATCGTTGGGATGAGCATGATGGGAGGTGTGTAGGCTGGTCGAGTAGGACTACGGTTAACTGTGTGGTTTCGGATAGAAAGGGTAGAGGAAAAAAGTCTATGTGCCCCGATCGGGGGGGCATAGCACCACTAAAGCAGGGATAGTGGAGTCGCAAGAGGATAAGCTAGTTATTGCTCTTGGACGGTCTTCAGGCACCGATCTAAGGACTTGTATACAAGGGTGGAGGTACGAGTCAAGGTACCCCACTGGATTCCCATTGGGAGAGATCATAATAGTCCCTACCCCCTCTGAAACCTCTTTAATCCGGACTAAATTGAGCTGGATGAACTTTTGCTGTCACGCTGGTGTTTATTATGAGTTCATCATGTTTGTTTGTCTGATTGTTTGTATCAGGGGTCTATATTGGTTTGTCTAACCGCCGTCTTGTGCATGTTTTGTAACAACTAATAATGAATCAGTCCATAGCCAGGGTAAAATAAACTAAGCTTTAGTTAACTCACCAAAAGTAAATGACTGGAGAAAGATAAATAATATATAGTGTTTTGCAAAATTCTGGTAGTATAGATGTGCTGCAAAATGAAAATAAATAGCAAAAGAGTGTTTTATGTCCTGCATCTGAGTGTGCAGAGGAAATGTAAACAAGAAGCACACTGTTCAGGGTGTGCGCTGCATCTGAATGTGCAGAGGAAATGTAAACAAGGAGCACACTGTTCAGGGTGTGCGCTGTAGGTGTAAGAAGAAGAGAAGATTATATTACTTTAAGAATACATTCTTAAATTGTATTGCTGGTATGTTAAGATATGTTTGTGACCTTTTATAAACCCTATGCCCCGTCCTGCACCCTGAGACCCTCAGAGGCATCACTGCTGGTCGTAAAGACCTGCCTGAGGAGGTCAGGGTGGCAAAATCTGTCTGCTGTTTTAGGTCAATATTGTATTATTTGTTTCATTTATTCTTAAAATATATGTATTGTATGGTAATAATGAAAAAACGTAATGTATTGAACACATTCCGAAACAAAGCTGATAAGACAGAACTAGACTCAGACATAATACAAATTATTGTTGAAACCTTTTGCGCTGTTGCTGCAAAATGGAAACTTTGTTGATTATCTGTTCCAACTGGCCACTGGATTCAGATAATTAATATAAGTTGAAGTTTAATTACAGTTTTAAATATAGTTTAACATTCTTTATTAAACTGCTTCAAATGATTTCTCGTATCAACCAATTGGTCTCCATAGACATTACTACAATTCTAATAGTTGTTAAACTACTGACAAGTTTTCTGAAACCGAGCTTATGAACAAAAGAGTAAAGGTCGCTGGTTAAGCCAGGATCAATATATTTGTTGACGTTTTCATTACAGTGTGCATAATAAATGTGTTAAATGAATTGAGCAATTCTTTAAAAAGTATAATGTTGCAATCTCTTTACAATAAGTAATTACAGTTAACAAAGAAGTAGAGGTTGTTTTCCAAGGGCCTCTCCTTCACAGCCCTACACTTTAAATCATGAGACTTTCAAATCATAACAGACAGAGATCGGTATCACTTTGTGTTGCAAGCCAAATCCATGTAAAGGTTCTACTTGAGCCCAATTTAAATACCATAAAGAAAGTATTGAACCTAGCTCAAGCTAAATGTCAAATGTATTTAATTAATGTACAAGTGTTTTGATTTATTTAAAATGTTCTAATCTCAGCTTCTTTCGAGTTCAGTCTAAGCAACAAATTGTTTCTCATAACATTCTCACTGCTGTCCCAAATGTTTTAACCTTGGGCAGACAAGCTGTTCACACACACACACACACACACACACACACACACACACACACACACACACACACACACACACACACAGACACACACACACACACCCACACACACACACACACTTTGGATAAGTAGTCACCTTATCCACATTGTAAATTGTTGCCTTCTTTAAAGTTATTAGTAATTTAAGATGAATTATTAAATTAAATGTGGTACATAAGATAAAATAAATGAAATAACTTTGACTTGATCATTTTGTTCACAACATTAGACCTGTCCTCTAATCTCTACTAGAATAAGATAAGTGTGCATGTTTGGATGTTTTAACACTCCTGTAATGTACCTAATCTTGATATCCTTTTCATTACAGAGCTGGGAAAATGGTGTATTGATTAGATTCTGATCCGTGCAAGTCCAATTTTAACTGACTTTAGTTCTAATGTTAATGTTAATTTGACTTCAACCCATAAGTAATTATTTAAATTAACTCTAAATGTCACATGATGATGGATTAGGGTTCCACATTTCTTCCACTAATTTGTTTTACAATTAGGCCAAAGGTAAAGAGAGACATTGATGACCTTGTGTCCCTTTTGTTCCATGTTGTCTATGGCCTTGGACGGCTTCACTAAAAGTCACCCAGTTCTGCCCTGCTGCAGTCCGGCTGAGTGCAGTCACAGAGATGCTATGGCTGCTCTACATGACATTAATGGTCTGGTCTGAATGGACACCATTTCCTGCTCCCAGAGAGAATGACACTCCTCAAACTGAACATTACAGCCGTTGATACTGTCTCACATGGGTCTGCTCCCCCCCACTGAGCCATGAACTGAAAGCATGACATCTGCTATGAACACTTGGAAGCCTCCCTGTCACACCAGCACCAACCCTTGGGTCAGTCAGATGAGACTAACGGCTTCACTTAGGGCATTTGGTTCAGATACATGACTCTCGTTACCGCAGAGTGGGTTGTTTTTAAGGCTATTCATACTGCTATGCAGAGGATGCCTGTAAGTTGGCGAGCTGGTAAAAGCCCCTACTATTGTTTCAAATAGGCCTAATGTCAGGGGTCTCTTAATGTCTAGTTCTACATGTATTCACATTATATAGACAATGTTTCCACCTGGTAAAACTAAAGGCTGCACAAAACTCAGGCTACAATACAACCATTCTGTTCTGCTCTAACGATTCAATATATAGATTCTACATCAAAACAATTAGCTTTTATTGTTTCCAATGATAACGTCACCTTAAGTGGAGGAATGCAAACCTGTTTTCAAATGTAAGGTTTTGATTTTGTTTGACATTTCTCAGTAATGACACCCTCAGACACCCAGTATCATTCATGCTATGCCTTCAGTAATAACTCAGATGTTAAAGGGATGAAACTTTTCCTCCCAAATCAGATATGCTTTGTTTTTCAACAAATGTATCAATTTCCTGCGTAATATATGTTTCTCACAATGGTTTTTTGTAAGCTGCACACAGGTGATACTGAGTCTTCTCGATTAATAGATTATAAACTATACCATGCTTAAATAGACTCCTAAGTTATTATTTCATATGTACCATATGCAAGAAAAGGGAGGGAAGAGTCAATTATATTGAGTAAATTATTTTATATTGGGTAATTTATTTCTCAAACCTATGTTTTATGGAAGAGACAAAATATTTCTGATAAACTAATATTTTATCAAAAGGTAAATGGTGAATTAATATGCATTTAGAATCATTGAGAAGGGGTTATATCCACAGGGACAAGCTCACCTTTAACTTACAATAACATTTCTCTGCTAAGGACTGATGAGTATATGATTCTTGCATGTTCAATGACTAACACAAACCTTCAAAATGATAATGTGCATGTGTCAGGAAGGCTCCCAAATCATTCTGAGGGGCCTATCCTGTTTTTGTAATTAAATGATAATGTGCTAATCCATTACTTTGAGTTGTCTTCACTCAGAAAAACATCCCTATCAGGTGTTAACCCAATAACTAGGACAGCTCTCAAGGCCAAGGGTCAGAGAGAGAGGGTCACACTCTCCGGGTGCAGAGAGCACCCCCAGCCACGTGCAAGGAAGCACAAGGTCGTTCGAGATGGGACGCTTCTCTTCACCTTTCTGATAAGAGGGGGTTCTTCTCTTCATCTTTCTGCTCGGTGGGCTCTAGCAGACAACCCTGCAGGACGAGCGAGGGCTTCAGAGGCTTCTATAATACAAGGTTCCATGTTTCTTGGAGGAGTTTGATGTCTTCCTAACCTCTCCCATCACGGGGGGGACACCTGGATGCATCAGGAATACGCAGTTGCTCTCAAGCAGATAGCAGAAGGAATACCGGCAGATGAGCCTCCGTCTCACTGGGGGGTCAGCTACAGTGCTCACTGAATGAGCCACACAAAAGCAGAGCAATTGGGGGGTTGAAATATGGCGCTCTGATGAAGAAGAGTTTGAGCCAATCAGCACCTCAGTGCTAATCTACAGTATCAGGATACCTTTACACACCAGACACTCGGTGTCATAAAGGGAGGAGGAGAACGAGTCAGGAAGCCTGACGGACATGTTCTTCCAGCTCTCGTACAAAGATGAACTTTGAATTGAATGACCAGATGTTTAAAGATGTACAATTAATGATTGTTTTTTATATTTCCAATGACCAGACATGTGTTAAGTAGTGGTGATAAATATATTTAGTCAGATCAGATTACATTTTCACACTAAACAAAATTAATAAATAAATATTTTCAGATTATAAGGTATTGAATAATAAGGTATTTCTAATATTATAACAGATAATGTTAATATCCTTAATCATCCAGCAATCAGGCTTAACAACACTACTCTGTAATGTATTACCCATGCACAGACAGACATAAAATGATGTTTCAAGTACTGGATTAATTTCAGTTTTGGCCCAAAACAAATATTTATAATAATTCATATAGCAATTATGTAGCATATTTGATCCTCAAATTAGAGAATTATAATTTAAAGAAATTGATATTCTATATTCAACATTAGATAAACACAGAAGAACCCTTTCCAAGTACCATAAGTAGATTTTCAGGTAAGTATGGCTAATAAGGATAAGTGATAGACTTAATTTGGTACAGATCAGTTGTAGCATTTACAAATGTATGAATTAAAGTTTTAAGAATGTTTAATCTTTCCTTTCCAGGTTTTTACAAAAGTCTTTGAATATTTGCCTAACTTTTCCTTTTCAGATTTTGAACAATGTACTTGACTAAAATGAATGTATTGATTTTACTAAGACTAAGTGCCTTACTCTTGACTAAAGTGTAATGAAGTAAACGTAAAGTAATCCTAAAATTGAGGACACTGCAACTTTGCGGATTACAGATTGATCAAATCACCTGTGAGTTTTATGCCTTAGCTGGATCTCTGATGATCCTAAGTTTGAAATGCTTTTGACTAGTGATTGCCTTAAAGCAAATCTTTAAGCTGTTTCTGGTTTTGATTTTATAGTTTGATAAATGACATTAACTAATGGTTTAAATGATAAAAGATATTAGTTTAAAACAAATATTTTGCTATTATGTATCTGTGTTTTATGTGTGTTCATTATTATGCTTTTGACAAAAGATGCTCCAAACACTGATGAGAGATAATTGTTCCTATTATGATTGCCTGTATCAATCATTGTGATTGAATGTTTCAATCTTATTCTACTTTGTGATGTAATTGAATGTAAGGTGAGACCACACTCGACTCTGAAGACGCCTATTGATTTAAGTATTGACCAGAATTATTAGACTAATGTTTTAAGGTTATCAAAAATGATAAAAAGAGAGGAACTGTTAAGGAATAATTCTTCTAGATATCTAACCCTTTACTCTGACATGTGTTATCTCCTTTAAGGAAAGGCCTTGGTGCCATATGTGTTGTTGTCCCCAGTGTGAGACCGGTCAACTTGACTGGCACGTAGGGTAATTGTTGTGAGAACACTGAGGCACTTTATCAGTGTTTGTGGGCTCTAGGATGTGAAATCCTTGAGGCCATGAGCATCGGACGCAGATGATTCAGTGTTTAGTCTACTCCTTCAGAGATGTTGATTTCTCTCTGTGAACCTGTTAAAAGGTCTAGCATAGAGAGAGGTTCTTCAGAATTGACGTGGCAACTCTACCGTGTGGTCAGAACCTCTGACTCTTTGATTTGTGATGTGAATCCTCCGGCCGAATACTCTGAATAAACCCATCAGTGTTTGACATCAAAGCTCCAACTCTCACCGTGTCTCCTTCCTGAGTCGGTGACTCCATGCATTACTACACAGAAGTTTCCTCCACAATAATCATATTTATATCTGAACTGTGTGTGCAGAGCTAAGCTAACTGAACTGATTTCATCCATAATAGTTATTCAATTTAAGGTATTATTTTGTGAAATAACTAAATACATTTTTTTAGGTTATTTAAAGACAAAAACAGCTTTGTCTTTATTTAATAATAATTTAGTAATAAATTGTTAATCATTTTAAATCCCAGTATTTTGAATGTTTTTTTGGATAATTTTTCGTATCTATAGTTTTATTATCGGTTTTAATTTATGGCTTTTAGTTTATTTTTATATTATGTTTATTAAAAGTTTTTAGTTTTTAAGTAACACTCTTTTTGTTAATATCACACAGTATATGCATTTAAGGTATTATTTTGTGAAATAACAAAATAAACAAAAAAATGTAAGGTTATTTAAAGGGTTTAAAGGTGGGGTAGGTAATTTTGAGAAACCAGCTCGAGTGCGCTAGAATTTGAAAATACACAACCGGAGAAAATCTGCCACTTCCTTACAGAGCCCCTCCTCCAACACACACGAACACGCACATGACCAATGTGGAATGGAAGGAATGGAAGGCTGACAGGCAGGTAGGCCATCCAGTTATTTTAGCCAGGCCGGCTCAGATGATTGGTCGTGCTTTTTACAGTACTACTGCTTCCACAGATGACATTTTTTATGGATTTATTGTCAAAGCACTTCAGATATTCATTGCTATCAGGATGTTAAGAGCATTCCATGGAATATAACAAAAAGTGTATCTCGAGCCGGTTTCTCAAACTCACCTACCCCACCTTTAAGTAAAAAAAATGTAAATATATATATATTTTTTGATGTTTGTAAAACTTTAATTTGTATAAAAAAGCTTTGTCTTTATTTAATAAGAATTTAGTAATAAATTGTTAGTCATTTTAAATCCCAGTATTTAAAAACAAAATGTAATTGTTTTGATCATTTTTTGTATTTATAGTTTTATTATCGGTTTTAATTCATGGCTTTTAGTTAATTTTTATATTATGTGTATTCAAAGTTTATAGTTTGTATGTAACACTCGTTTTGTTAATATCACACAGTATATGTATTTAAAGGAATATTTTAGGAATTACTCTTTTGCTCTTTTTTGTGTGAGTGTTCAGTGGACATTGTTAGCTTAGCTTAGCATAGTGAATGAAAGCAGAGGGAATAGTTAGCATCTGTTGGTGTACCTCTCCTCCTGTTTGTGTTGATCACGATCTCTCCGTAACAGACGTCTCTCTTCGTCTTCACTTCAGAGTAAACTGCAGCTGGACCGCTCTCTGCACGGTGAAACACATCATCAGAGTTACACGGAATATAATACATGGAATATAATACATGGAATATAATGCATGGGATATAACAATAATAACGCTGTTGTGGTTTAACTGTTCATGTAGCGTGAGAACGATGAAAGGTTTTCTTCTGAAACAGGAAGACGGACGACCACAGAGCTGCCCGCCTCAAACGTCACGATGAGATCAGCACTTCTCTGGAAATGAACCTGCTGTGGTTTTACAAGCATAGTGGAAAAAAACTACAAACTGACCCACGAGACGGAGGGTGAAAAGAGCGGGAATGAGAGATCCAACAAGTGTTTCAACTTTGTGCAGAAACACACACTCACATGTCTCCATGCTTTAATGTTCAAAAAGCTCTTTATTTGTCTCATACTGCCTGTGCTGCGGCACCTCTTTTCACCCTCTGTCTGAAACCAGAGCCCAGTCTGCTCTGATTGGTTAGCTGGTCGGCTCTGTTGTGATGAGCGTACAATGTGTTGCAGCTTGAAAAGGGGGCTGAAACTAATCAATATTTATTAATCACATTTTCTTTTTCGAATAGTCGTTTAAAAAATGTCCAAAAGTAAATAGCTTTAACAACTGCGATGGAAACTTAACAACCACAGCTGCTAGATCTTTATAAAGAAATGTTGACATGTCTGTACGTCACAGAAACAACACATATGTGCATACATGTGCACATTTAAATATATATTTATTGTAATCACAGTCTTCCTTTGCACATTTACAATTGTTTTCATATTATTTATTTGTGTTATTAACAGTGCAGCGTGTGCAGGTCAACACTTCTGAAGTGTTTTCCATCAGCTGCTAGCTTGTGTTAACCATAAGGTACAACACACACATTCTCACACAGCACACACTATCATCCACTAAAATAGACCCCACTACAGTCTGAAACCTTAGGGACCAGTAAACATTGATATTTTTTACATTTGATCCTTTCTAATATATCTTCATTTAACAGAAAATGCTCTTTTCTAAATTGTCCTCATAAGTTCTTAATTTCCGGATGGTCCTCACACGGATACAAGAACAAGAACTCACACACTGTCCCTGAGAACCAATCATTACCTCTGCCCCGTCGGCCCTGTTTCATTGGCTTCTTCCGGCTTTGAGATGTTTTGACATCGCTGTATGTGACGTCTTCTCCCATTTTCACTTCAGCAGCTGAAATAAACATGTCACTTGATTAATATCGACTTTTAGGACAATGTGAAAGAAACATTTAAAATCTAAAATGTTAAACTTAAACTGCAGTAAAAAATCACGTGAAACGATCAAAATCTCACTAATTGGATGAAAATATTGGGCATCGAGGTGAGATTACAGAAATCTAATTCATAAATATACTCATGATTGTGTATTGCAGGAAACTTTGTTTTTAGGGTTGAAAAGTTCAACTAGCTAAATCTTCATCTATTTGCATCTCTTTGTGCCGGTGCATTCATCAAAACATGGAATAGGGGAACACATGTAATTAAATTGGGATTCAATTAATTAAGGTTGCATTCACACCAACCTTGTATAGTTTACCCCCTCTATGCGGTTCGTTTGGGTTTATGTGAACGCAGTCCGAGACCTCTGAAGTGAACTAAACAACTGGACTCTGGTCCGCCTAAAATAGGTGGTCTCGGACCGCTTGCAAGTGAACTCTGGAGCGGTTCATCGCTGGTGTGAACGCAGTCCGCAACAAAACATAGGAAGCGTAGTATTTACGAGTCACAAGAACGCGGATGTCTTCCAAATCTTTAGCGAAAGAGTCTTTCAAGACATCCGCGGTTGTTTAGTTAAAGAGTGAAGCAGAATGAAGTGTTGAACAGTGTCGTAACAGTAAAAATGCTCCGTCAACTACATAAAAGTCAGAGCCACCTGTCGTCGGTGAAACCTCCTCCTGACTGCAGAACGTCTCTCATTATATGTGTTATAATGTTTTTTAACGGACGTTCTCTGATTATATAATAATAATAAATAATAATTCATTTCTTTTATATAGGCGCCGTTCAAGGCTCTCAAGGTCGCCGTACAAACACATCAAAAACAAGATACACAATACATAACACCAGCATAAGAAACAGAAACAAGACAATGCAGTATATCAATCAATCAAATCAATAAAACAGAGGATGTGTGATGGATAATGATCAGGGTGGATATGCGAGTGTGAAGAGATGTGTTTTGAGACGTGATTTGAAAATGGGGAGAGAGTCAGTGTTGTGGATATCAGGTGGGAGAGAGTTCCATAATCATATGCGCGGATCGCTAGAGTCTGTTGATCTCCAGATTAACAGCAGCATGAAAATAACCTGCCGATGCTCCATGGCGGAGGCTAAGGTAGAAATTGCCAGGATTGGCGTTTTTACCCCCTTAATGTCTGACCAATGGTTGAACAGCATTTCTGTGCACATGACTTGTGTTTAAAGTTTATAGTCCGTTTGAGTTTTGCTCGTGTGAACGAGAACCGAACCTTCTGAAAAATGAAACAATTGTTTCACCATATTTCATTCTGATTAATGCACCGGCAATGTTAGCTTAGCTTAGCATAGTGAATGAAAGCAGGAAGTCACTGCTTTAATAACATAATCATATTTATATCTGCACTGTGTGTGCAGAGCTGAGCTAACTAAACTGATTTAATCTATAATAGTTATTCAATTTAAGGTATTATTTTGTGAAATAACAAAATTACTTTTTTTTAGGTTATTTTAAGGCTTTAAGTAAATAAAATGTAAATATGTTAATTTTTTTAAATGTTTGTAAAACTTTAATTTCTATAAAAAAAGCTTTGTCTTTTGATAATTTTTTGTATTTATAGTTTTATTATCGGTTCTAATTTAAGGCTTTTAGTTCATTGTTATATTATGTGTATTCAAAGTTTACATTTGTATGTAACACTCGTTTTGTTAATATCACACAGTATATGTATTTAAAGGAATATTTTAGGAATTACTCTTTTGCTCTTTCTTGTGTGAGTGTTCAGTGGACATTGTTAGCTTAGCTTAGCATAGTGAATGAAAGCAGAGGGAACAGTTAGCATCTGTTGGTGTACCTCTCCTCCTGTTTGTGTTGATCGTGATCTCTCCGTAACAGACGTCTCTCTTCGTCTTCACTTCAGAGTAAACTGCAGCTGGACCGCTCTCTGCACGGTGAAACACATCATCAGAGTTACATGGAATATAATACATGGGATATAACAATAATAACGCTGCTATGGTTTAACTGGTCCTGTAGCATGAGAACAATGAAAGGTGTTTATCTGAAACAGGAAGGCGGTCGACCACAGAGCTACCCGCCTTGATCAAAATACATTTCGCGTGGGCTGAAAAAAGCCAAACGTCTCTATGAGATGAACACTTCTCTGGAAATGAACCTGCTGTGGTTTTACGAGCAGAGTGTACTGACCAACTTTATTAAATGTATTTATTAATTTGAGATGGAGAGAAGTAGTACCGGCTTAGTTGAATATTCGATTCTGATTGGTCAAACTGGACATTTCAGAGGTTGTTAATACTCAATAACACCGTTGCTAAGCAAAATACAGACTGTTTCTATGGAGGATCAAAGGAGAGAAGAAAAGTAGATATAGAATATATCCAGAATCAACAGGAATACAGTGTCGACATTGACGCTTCTCCACTGATAAGGAGACAATGTAAACTTTAATATCTTTCTTATTCAGCCAGTGTTTGTGGGTTTTTAAATCAACACAACAAAACAACTTTACGTAAAAAAACTCAACAGATGTTTACTTTATCCCAATTTAAAACGAATAAAATCAGCATATATGGTTAGTATTTACCCTTTACCTTTGTTAGATCATATTTATGAATAAAAGTGCTAAGGATCCATTATAATGAAGATATGACTGCAATACACATGGGTCATTTTTGAATAAATTTGTATTTCTTATAGCTTTATTAGACTTTTTAAAAGGGCCGATTTCCACTGGACTTTACTTCAGGAACATAGTGAGATCACTTTGGAACACTCGTGCTCCTATTGGCTAGCGCTGATAGGCTAAGGGGCGGGACATCTCTAAGCTGTTCACCAACCACAACAGAGCCGGCCAGCTAACCAATCAGAGCAGACTGGGCTCTGGTTTCAGACAGAGGGTGAAAAGAGGTGCTGCAGCACAGGCAGTATGAGAAAAATAAAGAGCTTTTTGAACATTAAGGCATGGAGACATGTGAGTGTGTGTTTCTGCACAAAGTTGAAATGTTGTTGAAACACTTTGAGCACCGAAACCTGCCGGCCCTCTTCTGTTTACCCTCCGTCTCGTGGGAACAACTATTTTTTTAAGAGCGATGTGAAAAAGTTGTTTTTATTCACACTTTTGCTTCTTGGAAAGCTGAAAATAGCTTTCACAACTGCGATGGAAACTTAGCAACCTAGATTTTATCAAGAAATGTCCAAATGTTGACCAAAATTAACACACATCACGTCACACAAACAATACATATGTGCATGCATGTGCAATTAAAATGATATATTGTATGTAATCAGAGTTAATTATACATTTATAATTGTTTTCATATTATTTCTTTGTGTTATTAACAGTCCTGCAGTGCAGCGTCTGCAGGTCAACACTTCTGAAGTGTTTTCCATAAGCTGCTGGTGTGTGTTAACCACAAGGTACACCACACACGTTCTCACACAGCACACACTATCATCCACTGAAATATACCTTACTACAGTCTGAAACCTTAGGCACTAGTAAAAATTGATTTTATAGATTGTATTCCCTTCTAAAATATATTTATTTAGGAGAAAATTGTGTTTTCTAAATTGTCCCCAAAAGTTCTAAAATTCCGAATGGTCCTCACATGGATATATGAACAAGAACACACACACCAGTCCCTGTGAACCAATCTTTACCTCTGCTCTGTTTGATTGGCTTGTTCCGGCTTTGGGATATTTTGACATCGCTGTATGTGACGTCTTCTCCCTTTTCCACCTCAGCAGCTGAAAGTAAACATAAAGACACATAAATGTCCCTCAAATTATTACTGATTCTTAACACAGTGTGAAACGTAGCATTTTAAAATCTACAATTTCAAACTCAAACTGCAGTAAAATATAATGTGAAATGATCAAAAGCTCACTGATTGGATGAATGAATGGGCATCTAGTTGACAGAAATGTAATTCGTTAATATGCTAAGGCTTTGGTATTGTATTGCAGGAAAGTCGTTATCAGCAGTCTCTTTGTGAATTAAGACAAAGTATATATTCAGTGTTTTGCATTATTTTGAACCTATAAAAAATTAAAAAGGCATTCTCTTAATAGAAAATATATTTGTGTAGAATTGCGTGAGTTGAGTGTATACAAACTTCCCTCGTGAATGTGGTTCTTAAAATGAGAGCTGCAGCACAACTTTTTTGTTTTGATGTTGTTTTGTTGTTTGTGTCTAACCTTCAGGTTTCCTTCGGATGCATCGTCGCACCAGAACAACCAGAACAACCAGAACCAGCAGAACCAGAACACAGAGGGATGCAGCAACAGGATGCAACCAGGAGGGAGTTGGAGAAACAGAAGTGGTGGGAGGAGGTCTTGCAGTGGTGGGGGGTTTCTCTAAAAAGTTAAAACAAATAATAAAAAGCACAGAAATAAACATTTCACCGTCCATCTTGATTTGTTTAGTATTTGTGTTTCAGGTTCAAACTAATGGACAGTGATTCCTAATATTAGGCTTTACATGGTGGAGCAGGAAATAGTCCCAACACTTTGAAATTATCATTATAAAGATTATTTTATTTGATGGCAGATTATTTTCTGTAATAATCCAAAATCCAATGGAGGAAACAAATTGGCTTTTTGTTAAGGGCTACATGTGTATGCTATGCTACAGGAATATGCTGCATTCAGGGTCCGCTACAGAAATACAATGATCCTGAAACCAAAGGAAAGCTCCTCACCTGAGACAGACAGCCGGCTCTCTGGAGACTCATTACCCTGGACGCTACACTTGTAGAGGCCTTCATCAGACCTGTTAACATTGAGGAGGGTCATGTGACCATCAGACTCATTCCTGATGGAGACGCCATCTTTGTAGAAATCAGCAGGGGGGGGGGTCGGCCATCTTTGTTCTACAGGTCAGAGTGACGTCATCTCCCTCCATCACAGGGAGGACAGGACTCAGCAGGATCACTGATCCACCTGAACACAGAGAC